ATACTTTAGCTGTGTACACATCAGGAGATACTTTAGCACTGATAGAAAAGCTAATACGTATCTAGGTGGGCAATGTTACATGTCGGGGTGTGATGTGAGGGGGTGCCTTCCTGACCCCAAAAGACAATCAGTTTATGGCATGAAGCATGAGAAATGATTTTAGTTTTTATGCAGCTACGGAACAGAACTGTGAAACCAGTGCAGGACTGATCTGCAATTATCTGGATTCAGACTTTGCAAATCTGGTTTTCAGACTGTAAACTCTCTGGGGACATGAACAGTTTGCTTACGTGCATGTGCAAAGCCTTGCATAGTAGGGCTTCTATCCTTGACTAGGCCTCTCAGGACCACCACAAGGAGCTCTAGCCATAATTATATCTGTGTTCAGGTTTTACGTCCCCACAGTGGTGGCTGCATCCGGGGGGTTCTTTCAGGCTCGTTGTGAATAATTGAAAACTCTATCAGTTTATCCTTATTCCTGTTTAATCCAGGATGATAGCCTACCCGCCCACGCCCCACACACGTCTGAAATGAGAATGCAGATGGCGTTGCATCTGCTCTGTAGGATAAACCTGCGCACAGATAAACTTTGCATGCATGGTAACTAATTCGTCTCTGTGTGTGAGAGTGCTTTGGCATTGCATTGCTGCTTGCTGTTAGCGGTGAGCACGATTTGCCACCCCGTGTCTGTTTCCTGCCTAACCTGCGTCCCAGCGTCTCACCCTCATGGCGTCACTTGCTTTCTGGTGCGTGGTGTTAGGCACTGCTGGTAGTCAGCCGCCTCCAACCCCTCCGGGAAGCCAACAGCTGTGAGATGTGGCGTGCTGACATCAGGAGGTGCTAAACATGCTGCCAACAAACAGCTGGCACGCACGTTTTAACAGAGCTTCTCGTTCCCCGTCAGCTGCTGGCTGGAAGCTGGGCAGCTCTGGAGATGTGCCAGCACACGAGGAGGAGGAGAGCCAGAAGCTTTTGGGGGGTGACAGCCAACAAGCCAAGAGAACTCGCATTGCCAAAGCACGAGGGGTGAGGATGCCAAAGCAATGCCCAGATAAGAGACTCAGCAGTGCCAAGACCAGATTGCTGGCAGTGCCAAAGCAGGAGAGTTAGCACAGCCAAGACAGGCAAGCTGGCATAGCCAGGAGGCAGTATTATTCTCTCCAATGCACAGGCATTGGGACTTTACAGGATGCTCTTTATGGAATTAAGAACAATCAGTCCTGCTACAGTTGTTGCAGTGCAATTTTTCTGCCTCAATGACTCAATGCAAAATAAGTTTCATGCTGTCTCTGGCGTTCCTCTCTGGGGGAGAACAATACTGAATGGAAGGCAGGGCTTGGCACAAAGGGTGTTTAGTGGGCCCGGTGGCAAAGATGGGACTTTAATTTTTGAGTCCACCAGAATAAGTCCATCAATCTGACAGTCTGGGCTACTCCGTTTAGTCAGAGATGAGTGACAGAGCAAGCGTCTACCACGCGGCCCCCCAACTCTGGTTTGGAGGGACCACCTCAATCTCCATAGCCCTTTAGCTCCTAGGTTCCTGTCATGCAAAATAGGGAGTCACAGCCCATCAGAAAGAAATCTGCAACGAAGTATAGAAACAAACAGGATTCCACCTAGCTTGAGTACCACTTTTCTCTGCTTTGTTTACCAGGGACTGCACCCTGGCTGGAACTCAGTGCAACATGCAGACACCTAATGGCTGAATAACATACTGCAAGTAAATACCTATTCAGGGCCATCTCCCAATATTACCCACTCGTGCCAATTGTGGGTATGTGCCCCTGCCCTGTAAGAACAAGAGCGAGAGGCCTTTAGCCCATTTCACAGTGGTTAGAGGGTAAGGGCTTTCAGCATTACTTACCTGGGCAACAGCTACCCAGATAAACTGCAAGAACCCTGTACCTTATTACCAATCTCTGGAGTCTTCCATGCAGTCACCCCCAATTCATTCTGACCCTCAATGCTGCTTAAACTGATTGGTTTTAGGGTAATTGACATTGTGATCTATGGGTGGGGAGTGGAAGAAGAAAAGGTAGAAGGACCTGTCTTAAATATTTCAATCCTCTACATTTTAATCTGGAGCACTAATGGAATTTATAATCAGCTGGTTTTTATGGTGCCTAATATTCACCGGTTCAGGGAAATACATAACACTGGTGATATTGAAATATGGATCCTTGGCTTCCTTTATGATTCCTGGCTGGTGCAGGAAGTTGTATTGGTGATGTGATAGCAGGGGATTCAAGCCGGTCTCTGGCTCAGTACTGAATTGATGCCCCCTGCATGATGTCAGGGGCATCTGTGTTGCTAGAGGTGGACTCTTTTGGATGTTATGCATTATAAGAGCACTACTGGTCATTAATAATTCCAGGCGGGAGGCATAAATTCCTGCGTCTTGACCAAATTACCTTCAACGGGGGTAATTAGTCTACCTTCCTAAAACTTCCCCTGCCATTTTTCATTTGGGTAGAACAACCTTCACTTCCTGTCCTGTATAATGGTGCTGTGCGGTATTGTCAAACAGCTCCACCCCAGAGGTGGCTGCATTTCAGAGGTTGATGATTCCCATATGATTCTCTATTTATGAAAATACTTTGGGCTCTTCCTGGACACAAGGCATTATTGCCATCCCGTGGAGTGCTTCGTGATTAGTTGGATTAGGGGCTAGTTGGGAAATATTTAGTTCAGAGATGCTAAATAAATGTTTAAACTCTCGCAAGGTGATCGTGGAGATGAGCTTGATTTAAGTCTTAGACGAGATAGGTAATTGTGTATTAAATTCTGTGATGACATTTTTGGATGAAATGATTAAATTTAAAAAAAGCTTGGTTTTTTTAAAACAAAGTAATGAAATTACAACTTATCAAGTTACTCCACGGCTAAAAGGCATCCGTAACAATAACAGCACCTCATCAGGAAAGGCAAGATAGGAAACTGTGTAACCCAGTGGGTAGAGCACCTACCTAGCTCTCCAGAGAGCTGGGTTCTGGTTCTGTTGTGTAGCCTCTAACAAGCTAGTTACTGCTCTGTGTCTTAGCTTTTCCCATCTGCGAAACGAGCGTAAAGATACTCTTCAAAATGCTTTACAAAGGAGAGAAGCACTACTAAACTAGGAATAAGAAAAGGAGGACTTGTGGCACCTTAGAGACTAACAAATTTATTTGAGCATAAGCTTTTGTGAGCCGGCTGCTACTCTTAAACTAGGAATGTCCTCGTAACTCAAATAACCCCATTGGGGAGGACCAGTTGGCAGTCAAAAATTGGGGTGGCAGCCCAGTTCCTAGTGAACAAATGTGTACGTTGACCAAACCAACTCTGGGCTGGCACTAATTGGGGTAGCAATGACCACAGTGGTGCTGTCTGGGCAATACCATGGTGGCCACAGCATCTGGACATTCTCTTAGGCTGTGAACTCCTTGGGGGCAGGGACAGCACCTAGAACAATGGGGCTCCTGGTCCATGAGTGGGACTCCAAGTCTATGATACAAATAACTGTGAAGCAGTCTCAGCAGAGAAGCTGAGGAAAGAGGAGAGGGCCTGATCCAGAGCTTGAAGCCAAGGGGGAGAGTCCCAGTGACTTTGGGCTTTGGATCAGGCCCGGCATGGGCCTAGACACCACTAGAGATTGCTTTTCCAGATGAGGGACACTGTTCTCCTGCGATCCTGTGTTTTATGGATAATTAAAGGCTCCTTGTCTGAACTGCTCTGTGCTGGGCTGCAAATCACCTCTTGGTTTGAAGCTGCTTCTCTAACAGACCCTCACGTAGAACTGCTCCGAATGGTGCCCTGATTATGACCGAGACTGTTGTAGGTGGAAATCCAATCAATGGTAATTAGGTGGAGACACGAATTAGTGCCTTGGAGACTGACTCTCTGAACTCTGATTGCAGTGGAGGTTGGGGGGAGGATGACGAAGCCCTGTAGAACAAGGCAGGTATTTAAATGATGCTGGCTAGCTGCCCGCCCAGCTCCCTTGGTGGCTTGCCCAGTCAGAGGAGAGTTCACTGTGTACCTGAAGCACACCACAAAGAGAAGGAGGCAGCTTCCGTTAACCGCTGGCCTGCTCCCTGGGAGCTGTGGAAGGACCATGCTTGCTGCTACCCACCCCCAGCCGCACCTGTTCAGCAGCCTAGCACAGAAGGAAGAGGAGGTGTTTATGGCTTTGTAAGGGGACTCGAGGCTTTACTCCCAGTCCTGCCCGTCTTCATGGGGTGGGGGGGGACCTTGACTGTGTATAATAGGGGCAGGCTCTCAAGAGCTCAGCTGCCACAGTTGACCCTGGATTTTTTCCAAAGAGCTCAGCTTCCATGGTGAGGCTTATGGCCGGATTTTCATCACAGCTGTGCACCCAGCACACCGGGCTCCTCTACAAACCTGGCCCTTTGTCTCTCTGGGCCTGTCCTCCCCACTCTGTACATGGGGAGCACAACTTCCTACCTGTCTTGTGGGGGACTTAGAGGGATAAATGAATTAATGGGGGAGGATGCTCGGATACTCCAGTGGAGATGGGGCTGTAGAAAAGCCTATCCCACTCCCTCAAGCTTGACCTCCGGAAAACCCAGCCCTCTACCTACGTGAGGTGAAGGGGAGGAGACGGCAGTTGGCTTTTGCGCCTCAGAGCAGCTGCTGCAGTTTTCTGGCCAGTGCCTTCCATTCGGGTTGGTGCACTCTGCCCCCGAAGTCCGGAAAACCAGAGCAAGCCACTGAACTAGGAGGTGGTGGTTGCCACGTGTCGGCGGGCCGTGAAACCTGAAGCAAGAGGTTCCCTGTAGGGCTTCCCATTCACTCTGCCTACTTGTGGAGAGACTGCAGGCTCAGGGCCAGGCCCTCTCGCGCCGCTGATTCCTTTTGAGACGTGCCCATTACGTAGCAGCCTGCCAAGCCATTGCCAAGAACTCCCAGGAGGCAATCCCCCTGTTCCCCCCAGCCTGCCCTCACTGCCGCAGTGGGGATGGGGGCAAACCATCACCAGGGAAACAAGAGTCTGACCGGATTAATAAAGTTAGAATTTTATTTCCTTACATTGTTGACATCACAAGTTTTTTGGAAACTTATTACAGTGGAAAAAATCCCATGGATCAGAGTCCCACTCACAACGAGATGGGGAGGAGAAGGACCTCTGTTAATATTTACAAGATGATGGAGCAGGGCTTGTAGGGACAGGGATCTTCCCCCTAGCAGCAGCCAGCTCTTTATGCCACGTGAGAGAGGACTGGGCCAGGTCACCCCAGTATACTGCTGGGCTGCAGGGAATGAAAAGTGGAACCAGCCCATGACCCACCCTGCAATCCCCAACTACAAAGCCACTCTGGGAACCGGGGTAGGAAAATGCTGTAAATCACCAGCCGGCTGCCTGTTGGCTCTCAGTATTGGAGACACAGAGTGAGACCCCTCTTGGACATTGTCTAGCATTCAGAGATGCCCTGGCAGCAGGGATCAAGCCTCTCCTAGTTTAAATCAGTGCCTCAAGGACTCCTGCAAACTTTGATCCATGTTGGTCTTGCTCAGCCTCCTCTTGGCCTGCTCTCTGCCTTCTGCCTTGCTGTCCCCTTGCATTGCAAGTGACCTTTCCTATGGGCTTCCTTCCTCCCAGGCAGATCTGGCTGTTCTGCAAGGCCTGTCTGCACTATTGTCCAGATGCATCTCATGTGTGTTGATGGCTCTGTACCTGTTGGTACCTTGGAGAAGGACATGCAAGCCCTGAGATCCAAACTTTCCCACAGCTCGGGGATGTCTGCACCCACGGCTTTGGCTCAGGCTCCACTCTAAGGATAAGCTCTCCGGGGCACAGACCATCTCTTTGCCAGCTGTATAGTTCTGACCACCATAAAGCACTCTCTATAGAGCAGAAAGGGCCTGATCCTGAGAGGTGACAAGCAATTTCAGCTCCCACTGGCTTCAGAGTGGGTTGTAGGCACTCAGCACCTCTCAGGCCTTGTCCAGATGAGAATTTGGAAGGTGTTAACAGCCTAAAAAGAAAAGGAGTACTTGTGGCACCTTAGACTAACCAATTTAGAAAGCTTATGCTCAAATAAATTGGTTAGTCTCTAAGGTGCCACAAGTACTCCTTTCCTTTTTGCGAATACAGATTAACACAGCTGTTACTCTGAAACCTGTTAACTGCCTAGTGTGGTCAAGGCAGTGTGCTTTTAATACATGTTACACCGGTGCCTTGACCTAGGCTTTAACATGAGCCATGCAACATGTGTTAAAGGCATCCTACCTTGTCTGCACCAGGCCGTGAACACAAGTTAGCCAAGACCTCCCAAATCCTGGTCTAGACAAGGCTGCAACGTCAAGCCCTGAGTGCTTCCCCAGCACCCTGACCGGCTCCCCGACCTTCCTCTTACTTCCACTGTGGGATCAGACCAGTGTGAGGCAAACAAGCCTTTCCAACCCAACAGCTCAGGCTCTCAGCACGTCCTCACTCCACCCTCTCTCTCCCTCCTGCCCATGCACATGGCAAATACCTCCCCAGGCTACCCTCCGCCGACAACAACTGAGGGACATCAGTGGGAAGGCTGGCAGGCACTCATGGGAACCCAATTCGGAACAGGTAACTCCATACCAAGAGTGATGCTTGGCCAGTCAGGGCCCCAAAACACCACCATGGGACCAATCAAAACAAATGAACATGACTCAAATTAAAGATTCTTTCCCCCCCACCCCCACCCAATGATGAATTGACTGCAATTGGGCAACAGGCTGAGAATTTATTCGTAGGAATATTTAGCCATTTGTTCTGAGCCGCTGAATGAACCTGGGGAAATTGTGAGCTGCTGATGGACAAGTTGCAAAGGGAAAGGGAAGAGAAACTCATCAAATCAATGTTTCCCTATGGAACAACTCACAGCAGCTGGTGAGGAACCTGTGCTGCTGGTTGTGGGGTGGGGGCTTGGCTCAGACAGCCCCACACCACCTCAGCGGACTTTCCAAAGGGCTGAAGGTGACCCAGTGGGGTAGAGATGAGATGACCTTAGCACCTTCTCTCCGGAGCTGTCCCCGCTGCATCCTCTCGCCCTCTGGAGATTGGGAGGGGAGGAGAAATACAAGAGAGAGTTTGCTTCCCACCTCTCAGCTCCGCTGTAGTTATACATCAGCCAGCATCCATCTCTCCTTGGGTCTCACAGCCTAGTGAGCCAGCCGCAGCAAATGTGCCCACTCTTTATGGGTGCCAAGGGGCTGCTCCCTCTGTTCACAATTAAAAGGTTTGCAGAAAGGTGCATTTCAGTTAAAACCCCTCTGGACAACGGAAATCCATTCCATCGGGATAAACCCGACATCTTTCCAGCTGTTTGGCATCATCCAAGCCGGCAACAGAGCGAGGCCGCCTGGCCCAGGTGGTGCAGAGCAGAGACTTGCCAGGCCCTGCTGCAAGGAGACCAACCCACCGGGATGTGGACAGAGGGGCTGGCCCATTGCCCCAGGAAGGTGGTATACTGCTGCGGCAGCAAGGAGTGGAGGCACCAGGCTCAGGCCGTCAGCTGCTGCTGTCAGGAGACCTGGGGAAACAAAGCACACAGGGAGCCTGTGAATCCCCCCCCCATCCTTCTCTGCCTCCAACAGCCCTGGGTGCTTTGGGGCAGGTTGGGGCCCTGGACAGGGGTTTGTGCACCCAGAGGCCCATCTGCTGCCTCCTGCCTGGGGCGTCCCCACTCTTCAGTTAGCCCCTTCCCCCCCCCCACCCCCCCAGAGCATCGTCTCTGTGCTGTGAGCTTGACACTGTGGAAGGGTCTTTATCAACCCTGTGATGGTGGGGAGAGCCTAGTGCATAACAAAACCTCTGCCCTCTCTGAGAAGAAAGACACCCCAAACCTGGATATCAGCAGAGTACGGAGTGGGGGGGCATGTCAGCCTACAGGGATGGGAGTGCAGGGTCCAAACAGGGGATCCGGAGGGGACACTGAGCAGAGAGCCCTGGACAGTGTGTGTGTGGAGTTTGAATGCCTGTGTCTAGCCACAGGGCAGGTGCCACGGGGCAAGCTCTCCACCCCAGCCCGGCAGGGTGAGAGGGGAGGTTGGCCTCCCAGCCCCGGTCAGTCCTTGGCCTCGCTGAGGGCAGCTCCTGGGTCATGCACTTCGCACTGGCCTGAGTGCAGCCAGGCCACCACACAACAGCCCTTGGCTGGCCACCGCTCTGAGGCTGGGACTGTTGAAGGAGCCGCTGCCTCAGGGTGTTAGGTGCGCAAAGCCCAGGCACCAGGCCAGATGTAAATGGGAAGCCAAGAGATGAGTGACTCTGTCTCATTCCCAGCGCCACAGGCCTACCAGCCCCCTCCTTCAGGCTGAATTTCTGAGGTGCTTTATGACTTGGACTGAGCACTGCGGGCTCCATGGAGCCAGGTGGTTCTGGGAGGCACAGAGAGGCCCACTGTATCCCCGTCACTGTGTGGGCACTGGCAGGTATCCTGGGGTTCCCGGGGTAGGGTGGTGATGGAGGGCAATGGGATGGTGGTGTGCTAGCATCGAAGCTGCAGAAGGGGGCAGTAGGGCTCATTCCAGCCCTGCCCTTTCAGCCAATGGCAGCTGCTTGCGTGTTTTTGGTGGTGAATCTGGCTCAGGATGAGTTTGGCTTTAGCTCTTTCTCAGTTATTGGAGGTTTTTAAGAACAGGTGAGACAAGCACCTGCCAGGGATGGTCTAGATAATACTTAGTCCTGCCCCGAGTGCAGGGGACTGGACTAGATGACCTCTCGAGGTCCCTTTCAGTTCTACCATTCTATGATCCTTTGTACACAGGAAGGAAGATGGGAGCTGGGGGGAGAGAGGCATATGTTTACATGTACACACACACTGGGAATTTTGGGGCCAGCTCTCCCCATGGGAGCAGCTCCCAGAGGAGACATGATTGGGGTGAGAGGTGCCCCTTTATTGAGCAGTCCCATAGGATAGAATACGAAATGATCACTTTTCTATAGAGTTTTTTGACCCATCCTGGAGAATCTAATACAAGGTTCTGTCCCTTCAAAGGGATGATACCAAAAGCTATAGGAAGTGCCATTCTGGGCCCATTTCAATGGGGCTTTACAGCAATTTCTAGAGAATCCTATTACATTTCTAAAACGCCCCATGGGTTTCACCCGATTAACATATCTAGGGTGGGGCCAAAGTCCCACATCTTTAGAACAGGTACAAGCATGGCCTAAACCCTGGCATGGTGACCCCACCTCCAGAGATGGGAGTTCAGTCTCCATCCAGTCGGTCCCTGGCACCTCTGCCGAGACCTGTCATTTGGTGCCAGTTATGACAGTGTGTGTCCACTAGGAACTAGAGTGAGACCCATCCGCTTATTGCACATAATCTTCCGATGGCAATGGCTCTTGGTGATGCACTATCTGGACTGGAAATGAATACCAGCCCCCTGAGCCCTCATCTTAGCTCCCCATTTCTTAAACGGTTGTAGACGACGTCATGCTCTTGGAAGCAAAGGTCTAGCGAGGAGTCTGGCTGTGCTATACAATCAGCTCTATGCAGAGTCGCCCAGAAAGACCTGCCAATGTAGCTCTCCCCTGACCTGCTATCTAGGTCGGGGCCTCCCCTGAGCTGGGGCTGCCAGCTGGCCCTCTCGGCATGGTGGTATTGCACACAAATGTCTCCTGCAGATTAAGCTGGGAGCAGCAAATCAGTTTCACATGGAACAAAGTGGCAATCTATCTCAGGTCCCCAAGAGCTGGCTGGTGCTTTACCCTGGTTGTCCTCTGAGAAACTTGTCTTTCAAGGCCCTGATCGTCTTGCTGAACTGAGACCCAGCCAACTCATCACACAGTCTACAGGCTTGTGCCACAGTAGTTCTCGACCTTTTCCATATTGCAACCCCCTTTTCAATAATCTAGCCCTGAGATTTATAAATAGGGGCAGGGCAAGGTGGTCATGATCCCCCTGACACCTGGTCATGACCTCCAATCAAGAACCTCTTCCCTAAGCCGGATGGTTAGTGCCTGGTCTAGCCAGTACCTTTCCTGTACCGATCTACTTCTGGTTGGGCTTACTGAAGGAATTAGGGGCTCCTCCACAGGAATGAACTCTGAATCTCAAGGGGGTCAATAAGAAAGGCCCAGGCAAAGAGGCACAGAGTTTGGAGGAAGAGCGGTGGGGTGTACCGCCCCTTTCAGACCTCCCGGAGAGAGGTTGCAGGTGTTTCTGTTTATTGTGATCCATTTGCTCTGGTGGGGAGGTTTCTCCGCTCCAGAAAGCAAGTAGGATTCTGCGTTTCCCCCAACTCCTGGGGAGAAATGTGCAGATTCCACACCGCTGCCCAGTGCATTTGAATATTTAATTATGCAAAACAGGGCTGTGCAAATGGGGCAGGAGGACAGTTCTGAGACGGTGTCTGATCAGTACGAATGAGCCGCTCCTCTCCCCTGGCTCCCACTCCCAGCGTCCCAGGGTGGATTTATATTTCCTTCGCTGCCTGGAAATGGCACGCAGTTGGCTGTTCTCTGGAACAGTCTGGACCCTTTTACGCTACACGCCAGGCTCTCACACCAGAGAGACATGCAGGGAACTGCAGGCTGAGTCAGAGGGATGGAAGGATGGGATCCCAGCCCAACAGAGCCCCAATATTCTAGACGAGGCCTGGGCTCCCCAGAAGTGAACCCACCCCCCATGAACAAGAGTCCTGACGTTACAGACAGGGCTCCATCCATACCCAGACTTCTCCACTGGTCCCCAGTCTCTCAGAACCAGCTTCAATCCTAAAACCAAACCCAGTGACAACTGCAGAAAAACAGCCGTGTTAGTCTGTCTTTGCAAAAAGAAAAGGAGGACTTGTGGCACCTTAAAGACTAACCAATTTATTTGAGCATGAGCTTTCGTGAGCTACAGATCACTTCATCGGATGCATACCGTGGAAACTGCAGTAGACATTATATACACAGAGACCATGGAACAATACCCCCTCCCACCCCACTGTCCTGCTGGTAATAGCTTATCTAAAGGCCCAACTTGATGATCACTTTAGATAAGCTATTACCAGCAGGACAGTGGGGTGGGAGGGGGTATTGTTCCATGGTCTCTGTGTGTATATAATGTCTACTGCAGTTTCCACAATATGCATCCGATGAAGTGAGCTGTAGCTCACAAAAGCTCATGCTCAAATTGGTTAGTCTCTAAGGTGCCACAAGTACTCCTTTTCTAACTGCAGAAAAGACCCTGATCCAGACTCAGAGCTCAGCCTTATACAGAGACTCTGTCCTGACCATGCAGATAATGCCCTGACAATACAAAGGGTCCCATCCTTTTTAGGCAGGACTCCATGGTCATAGGGGGATGGGGCTGGAAGGGATCTCCTGGGTCAAGTCCCCTGCTATCACCAGGGCTGGGGCTGGCAACCCAACCCTGCAAGGCAAAGCCCTGATAGCGCACACAAACCTAGATGGGACACCAGCCATGGATACAGAGTCCTGAGGCTGCAAATCTGGTCCTGACCACGCACCGATAGACCTAATTAGATTCATGATTTTGCACATCATTTGATGGTGGAACTCACTTCCACATGAGGTCACTGAGGCTAAGAATTTAGCAGGATTAACAAAAGGATTGGACATTGACAGATACCATGAATATCCAGATTTAGTGTACCGTAGTTATTGCTCACAAACATTTTGGAAGGGCTAACCTCATGCTTCATAGCTTAAACTGATCTCAGGAGGAGACATAATGCAGGTTACCCATAGCTGCCCATTACAGGGTTCTTGCACCTTCCTTTGAAGCAGCAGGTGCTGGTCACTGTTGGCAACAGGATACTGGGCTAGATGGGCCCCTGGTCGGACCCAGTGCAGCCGTGCCTATGAAACTAAACAGGAAACTAAACTGTACTTCAGAGCCCAGAGGTCAGCCCTTTGCATGGGCACCTCATTCTAAACCAGCCTGAGAGCCGTGGTTTCTGCAAAGGCTCTGTCCAGCCCTCATTCCTCCCTGTGCAACAGAGGGTCCCTCCCACCGGGCCATGAGACAAACCCGATAACGTGGAGATGGCTAGAGGCCAGGACAGCCGTGCTCACACAGCTGCCTGCCTGCCAGATGAACAGCCGTGGCCTGGCCATGCCTGTCTCCCCTGTGCTGCGGGGAGCATAATTTGCTCTTCTCCAAACCTTAATGTCTCTGACATTAATAAAATATCCCGCTGCACTTCTGAGGCTCCCACCAGCAGCATCCAGCTCCCCGTTCATTGTCATTCACTGGCTGAGCTGACTGCAGAGCAGACTCCCGGGCCTCGCACGGAGGGAAGCTACGCAGCTGCTTCTGGAGCCGAGGGCTCGTTTGGGGGATGCGGCTACAGGAGTGTGTCACTTTAACAGCCTTCAGATGCAAGATACACAGACCCTCCTCCACCTGCGTCCCCTCAGACCTCCCCACAGCAGAGACCAGGGCTCCAGTCTTTCTCGGCTGTCTGTGAAGGGAAAGGCCGAGCAGCCTGACAGAATGGGCCCCAGCTCAAACCCTGGATCCAGACATCCCCAGATTCTTGGGAGGTGCCTGGAATCTGAACTTGGATCCAGGTCTGAACCTCGCAGCTGGCCCCCATATCTAGAAGAGGCCAGAACAGAACCACCGATCTCAACACCCCCAACGTGTGCAGTCAGAAAGGGTTCCAAATCTGGATCCAGGTTTTGCAGCTCGGGCTTGTCCACTCCCCACCAGCCTATAAAATATCCCCAAAGTTCCGGTGGGCGTTAGGAAAAGCATGCCCCCTTCCCCTCCTCCACGGCACTGCTGCTGTCCCATGCCCGACAGCGCCCCCTGCTGGGAACGGCAGGGACTGTGGTAGTTGGGCCCTCCCCCACAGCCAGTGCTCTCGCCTCCTCCTTTACAGTCCCCGTGCTGGGAGAGGCTGGCACTAAACCAGCTGTGAACAAGTCTGCAGGTTTCAGACGTTTAAAATGACAGCATGTGTACAGGCCTATTCCAGGCTGCAGCCTGTGGCATGCTGGGGGAGCCTGGCAGGCAGCCCCAGTGGAGAAGAGGGCCTCTCCCTTGGGAAGTCAGAAGGCTGCCTGTGTTCCCTGCACTAGAAACAAAACTGTGATGCATTTGTAATCGGACAAGGCAGAACCGAGCTGGGTCCATTCTATGATAATGCAGGGCCAGGGCTTGTACCAAAGGGACACCTCCCCTTTACCCCGTCCCTGGGGTAGAGATAGTGCTGAGTGGAGTCTGTGAGTGGGGGCTAGCAGGTGGGTACTAGACCTTCTCCTCTCCCTGGGGGATGGAGCTGGGTTCGAGAGCAGGGCCTGCAGGATCTATTATTCTCTCCCTGGGTTAGCAAAGCTGATTCCCTTAGTTGCCAGCAGCTGCCTCCCTGTGCTCTCAGGGCAAGTGGAAGGAAAGTACCACGGGTTGGGATTTCATTGCAATTTCCATCAAAGCCCACAGCCCAGAGGTCTGTGTTTCAAGGGGCTGTTTCTCCCGTCGGGGTCTGTGCACGTTGCGTGGAGCAACCACAGTGCTCTGCCTGCCTGTCTAGAGTAAGAGACAGCAAGGTCCCTTTCCCGCCATGCAAATATTCCCCCTTCCCGCCCTATACCTAAAGACTTGACCTTCCCCATACACACACTCATACTAGGAGAGGGACGGTCTTGTGGTTAGTATTCAGGCCTAGGAGGCTGGAGATCTCGGCTCTCATTCTGACTCTGCCACTGAATCCGTATGCACAGTCACTTCCCCGCTCTGTGCCTCAGTTTCCCCATCACTCTAAGATGGGATAACAATTATGCAGACCTGTCCCACCCCTCACAGGCTCATTTGCGAGGCGCCTAGGCCCAGATCTTTAGGCTCCTAAATAGCTTTAACTCCCATTGGAATCACTGGGAGTTGGGCTCCTAAATACTTTTGAGGATCCAGACCATTGATAATATGGTGCTTTTTAAGCCAATCTCATGATTTTCGGGCACCTGCCTCAGGATCTTTGAATGCTTGGGGCTGACTGTGAGGGGAGAGGCCTGGAAATGCCCATAGCCACTGAAGCTAAGATCAGGCAATGGGAGTGACAGGAGGTGTAAAGAAATGGCAGTGAAACCAGTTTCTCCAGCAAAGGAGCATCCAGCCCTACGGAGACATGTTTATAGCCTGTCCTGATTGGTTCCTGGAATAGCTCTCTGGGCAGAGCAGCTCCGGTTTTACTGGGAGTGCTCCCAAATGCATGAGCTGATGGGGGGGGGGGGGGGTGTCCTCACTCATCCATGGACAGACCAGTGATTCACTTTCTTTCCCAGCTAACACCAACCCCCCAACCCCCCACAGATACCTTCAAACCAGGACACTCTCCACCCCCAGCTGGTTCCTTCTCCCATCTCAGTCGGGTTGGTTGCCAGGAGGCAGGAGTTACTTACTGTGACAGTTTTTATTCGGCCCAATCGTCGAGTGCAGCTCCAGCCTGAACGATTTATTAACAAAGTGCACTGCTCCCCTTCGGCACAGGGCTCCATCCCGCACCACTGCTTACTGGCAATGAGCTGAGCTGCCACATAGAGCGGGGGAGATCACGGAGCATGGGGAGGGAGAAATTCGAAGGGTTATGAAAAGAGGGAGAGAGAGAGGTAGGGTACAAAGGGGAAAAAGATGGGTGTATATAGGGATGGATAGAAAGGGGTGTGTGTGTGTGTGTGTGTGTATATATATATATAGGGATGGAGAGAGATGTATATGGGGATGGATGGATAAACAGATGGGTTTATATTGAGATGGATGGATAGAAAGGTGTATATATAGGGATGGATATAATATTGGGATGGAGACAGATGTGTATGGGGATGGATGAATAGACAGATGTGTATATACAGAGATGGATGGATAGATAGATGGGTGTATATAGAAATGGAGAGACAGATATGTATGGGGATGGATAGATGGGTGTATATATAGCGATGGATGGATACATAAATGGGTGTATATAGGGATGGATGGACAGAAAGGTGTATATAGGGATGGACAGACAAATGAATATATAGAGATGGATGGACAGATAGAGGTGTGTGTGTGTGTGTGTATATAGATGTGGAGAGACAGATATGTATGGGGATGGATGGATGGATAGGTGTGTGTATATAGACATGGAGAGACAGATATGTATGAGGATAGATGTGTATATAGAGAGATGGATGGATGGATAGATAGATGGGTGTGTATATAGATGTGGAGAGACAGACATGTATGGGGATGGATGGATAGATAGATGTGTATATAGGGGGATGGATGGATAGGTGTGTGTGTGTATATAGACGGAGAGACAGATATGTACAGGGATGGATGGATAGAGGGATGGATGGATAGATGGGTGTATATAGACATGGACAGGCAGATATGTATGGGGATGGATGGATAGACGGGTGTGTATAGGGAAAGAAAGATGGGTATATATAAGGAGGGATGGATGTGTATATATGGATGGATAGGTAGATATGAATGGCAAGAGAGAGGGCACAAGATTAAACAGGAACAAATAAGGAAAGTAAAATCAAAGGGAGTAGAAAGAAGGGTTGAGTTATCCAAAACAAGGAGACCAGGAGATAAAATAAGAGTAAAATAAAATGTGTCAAAGGGGCAGAGGCGAAAGAGAGAGAGAATTGAGGCCGTCAGGGACAGTTTATGCAGAACGTTACAATCTGTATCATTGTAGCACCTACCAACAGTAGATAACAGCCATCTGCAAGCCGGAGGCTTGGAGCAGCCTCTCGTGTTCCTCACACGTAGGGACACCTGCCACCTGTGAGGGACACATTCCCTACACATAGCAACCTGAGATGACATGTCCCTCCCTCACCAGGGCGCCACGTGGCCCCTGACACCTGCAGGACATAGCAACGCTCCTGCCTGGCAAGGCTTCCGGCAGGCACCGAAAGGATCAGTGTGGCTTTCTCTGCAGAACTCTGCCCAGCATGGCTCCTGCCTCCCTGCACTCATGCAGTGCCTGGGAGTGGAGAGGAGTTCGCTTGTGAAGCTGGACTTCCCAGAGTTCAGAGCCAAATTTTCAAGGGCTCAGCACCCACAAACAGGCCAGATTTTCCGAAGAGCTTTGCACCCCCACTTCCCCATGCTGAGGGGGTTCTTCTCCTCCCTTGCCCCCCACCTTGCTACCAACAGATATAAACCCTGATACAGCTGGACGTTGCTGGACCATGAGTGTTCTCAATGAGCAGGTGCGTGTGTGTCACCGTGGACCCCACCCAGGACAGTTTGACTGTGTGTCATGTCACCTGTACAGTTAGCTGCTCCCAGTGATGATAGGGGCCTGTGTTTCGGGGGCAGGCAGGGAGGCTGGAATGATTTGTAGAGTTGGAGGCAGGGGCTGAGAGTCATTGAACTAAACAGTAAACCCTGCATGTGATGGAAACCACTTCAAGCCAGGGGGTGCGGCCCTGCCCCTAGTTTCAGCACCTCTGGGAGCAGGAGGATCTGAGTTCTGTGGCTGCTGTCACCATAAAGTCCCAAGTGACCATGGTGAACCAAGAAGCCACAGGCAGCCCCATGGCCCTGGCCCGTAGCTCTCTGGAGCAGTCAGAGCCCTCTTACCATCCACGCAGGCAGGTTTTGCCCTCATTGTGCCCGCGACTTGGCCTCTCCTGCAGGCACAGCGTGCTGTCTGCCGGGCGATCATCCTCCTGGGGTGGCTGAGGTCTCTGTTCAGCGCCGTAATCTCACACATCCCCACCTCCAGCTCCTTGCCTGCAATGAGACAAGGGGACATCCAGCAGCCGCTGCGCAGTCAGAGTGTCGGGGCAGGGCACAGCCCTAGTAGCAAGAACAGGGAGGTGGGAGTCCGGGTGGCTGGGTCCTATGCCCTACTCTGTCACTGACTTGCTGTGTATTCTGGGCCAACAGAATCAAAAGAAGCCACTGATTTTTGGATGCCTCTATATCTTGGGAGCCCAACCAGAGCCAGCTAGGGCCTGGTTTTCAGAGGGGCTAACAGCCTGATGCTCCCACGGTGAAAGGAACTAAACCCCTCAGAAGTACAACTCCAGCAGTCCCTGTTGAGTTCAGTGGAAGCGGTTCCTCCATGGGACTGGAGCCTGAGTCAGGACAACTCTGGAGATGGCCCAATCTAGAGAAAACGCTTTTCACCTCCCTCCTGGCCAGGCACTGAGCACCTTCCCTTAGCTCCTTTCCTGTCCCGTGGGGCCTGGGAGTGGCTTACAACATAAGCAGGGTCCTTCTCCCAAGGGGAGGAGGGGGAGTCGTTCGAACAGCTCTACGGTGATCCCTTAGCACCTCTGTGCAGGGGGAGGGCTGGTAACATGGGGACGGGAAGGCAAAGCCAGCAGGCTGGGTGCACACTGAGCCAAACTGCAGCAGCTGGCAAGGCTTAGAACGTCTCCAATCCAGCCCGCATAGGGCAAGGCCCAATCTGACTGGCCTGAGGAGACTCCTCGGTACCTAAAGCGGCCCTTCCTCCGTCCTTTGATCTGTAAAGGGAGCGTGAGTGAATCCCACAGACAGGAAGGCTGGGCTGCATGCAAGACAGTCTGGGCTTCCTTGCTCTAAGGGGAAGGCTGCACTCAGCCGGAGCACGCCTCCTCGTGCTCAGCCCGGAGCGTTCCCCTGTAGCTGAGCACAGGGTCTGCGCCTGTCCTTGTTAACATTTTGGTCCCGGGGAAACAGATGTCAACCCATGAATGCCGCCAGGCAGCTGGGTGAGAGGCAGCCGCACGTGAGCGGCATCATCTCAGAGCTTTTTAAATACTCCATCCGGCTCCCCTTGCGCGCTCTCTCTGCAGCCTGTGACAAGGGGCAGGGGCAGGCAGGCCGGCAGTCCAACATGGCCCAACGCAGGGTGTTTAAAGGGTTCGGGTAGTTCGGCAGCACGCTGCCACCCTCAACTCTTGCTCTTTAGCCCAACACAACCCCCCGTTCTGGGTCTGTTTCCCTTCCCTGTTGCACTGGTGTAACTCTGACTTCAGTGGGGTTACTCCTGGTTTACACTGGTGTAAGCAAGAAGAGAATCAAGTCCACTGTAAACCTGGGGCAGGATTCTGCTCTCGCGTAGGGCTCAATTCAAAGCCCTGTGACCTAAACAGCCACTGGCTTCAGTGGGCTTTGGATCGGGGCTCAGAGATCCAGTGTACATTCACTGGGCCTGATCCTTCCCTCCTGCCACTTTTACGCTGCTGGAAGCCCACAAACTGCAGTGGAGTTACTCCAGATTTCCACCAGGGGATGTGAGAGCAGCATCCGGCCTTCAGCGGATTTACACTGCTGTACCTGAGATCAGAATCTGGCCCCTGGTATCCAACAGGCATAACAGGGTTCCCAAAACTCTTTCCGTTCCAGTGATCTAAGCTGTTCTGACTAATGCGGGGTTAGGAAACCCCTTCCCTTTAAATGTATGGATGGTTACAAACAGGAGAACATGGCAAGACCTCTTACACAGCAATGTGACTGATTCTGCCAAGGCCCCTTTAACGCCTCGCAAGCACAGTCTGCAGTTGTGGCATCTCTCTATTTCTGACAGTCCTGCTCCTTCAAATGAGGGGGAAAACCCCCACCTGTTGCCGTTTGCCCTATTAGCTGAATAAAAACATTTTTTGCTTCCCATCATATTTTTTTCCAAATTGCACAGATGAAAAGATATGAGGTCACTGGGATTTATATGGAAGGATTTGGCAGCCTTTTCCTATTTATTTGGCCTGTAATATATAAATTCAATCTGGACTCTCCCAGAGTAAGCGATTTGTTATCTGAGTAAGTAGATGTGGGTGGGTAAGATGTTTCAATTAGAATGGCATTCGTTAGGTATGACTTGCCTCCGAGTGTGGTGTTTTATGCCTTTGTTTTGATTAATTAGGACCCGGTCCTTTATTCCTCATGACAGTCGTACCACTGAAGTCAGTGGGGAACGGCCTGATGAGGAAGGATTCCAGGATCAGGCCCTTCATTTGGGCACGTCTACACAGCACACAAAAAACCAACCAACCCTGCGGCAAGGAGTCTCAGAGCACGGATCAAATGACTCAGGCTCCCAAGGCTGGCACTGCGGGGCTAAAAATAGCCGTGTAGACATCTGGGCTCAGACTGGAGTTGCAGCTGTGAAACCTGGTGAGCAGGGAGGGTCTTGGAGCCGGGGCTCCAGCCTGACCATCTACATGGCTATTTTTAGCCCTGCAGCGTGAGCCCAAGTCTGTTGATCTGGGTTCTGAGACTCGGTGGGTTTATTTTTTGCTATGAGTAGATGGTTTGTTTGGGGGGGGGTGTTGTGGGGTTTTCTGGTTGACTTTTTAAACTTTGGGAAGCTAGCTATCAGGAGGAATGAGGAGGTGTAGTGGTCAGGGCTTTGTCCAGGGACCCAGGACATTTGGGACCTTGGGCAAGTCACTTAGGCCCAGATCCTCAAAGGTATTTAGGCACCTAATTCCCACTGACTTCAATGGGAGTTAGGCTCTGATCTTTACGTGTCTTAGTTTCTCTGTGCCTTGATTCCCCATCTGCACAATGGGGATAGTAGCAGTGCCCTACCTCCCAGGGGCGTGAGGATAAACACATTAAAGATGGTGACGCACTCTGAGATCTACTGTTGAAAGGTGTGTGACAAAGTTCCTGCTCTACCTTGGTGGGTCTTGCACTTATTGGCAGATTTGCTCGCCTTGGAGCTTCACAGCAGCCCTCAGCTTAGCCATTTTTCTGAACCCACAGTCCAGGTCGACTCCTCCTGTGTCTGACCAGGAGTTGGGAGGATTTGGGGGGAACCCAGGCCCGCCCTCTACTCTGGGTTCCAGCCCAGGGCCCTGTGGAATGCAGCTGTCTAGAGTGCCTCCTGGAACAGCTGTGTGACAGCTACAATTCCCTGGGCTACTTCCCCCATGGCCTCCTCCCAACACCTTCTTTATCCTCACCATAGGACCTTCCTCCTGGTGTCTGATAATGCTTGTACACCTCAGTACTCCAACAGTCCGTGTTCTCACTCTCAGCTCCTAGTGCCTCTTGCTCCCAGCTCCTCACACGCACACCACAAACTGAAGTGAGCTCCTTTTTAAAACTTAGGCGCCCTGATTAGCGTGCCTTAATTGATTCTAGCAGCTTCTTGATTGGCTTCAGGTGTTCTAATCAGCCTGTCTTAATTGTCTCCAGAAGGTTCCTGATTGTTCTGGAACCTTCCCTGTTACCTTACCCAGGGAAAAGGGACCTACTTAGCCTGGGGCTAATATATCTGACTTCTATTACTCTCCTATAGCCATCTGGCCCAACTCTGTCACAAGTGCTACAGAAGAGCAAGATATGATTATTCAAAGAGTGTGAGGCAGTTGGATGTTATGGTGATGCGGGCCATATAAGTACCTACAATAGCTAGAGATGGGTCTCAACTGGGATTATTTAATCTGCAGAAGAGAAGAATGAGGGGGGATTTGATAACTGCTTTCAACTACCTGAAAGGGGGTTCCAAAGAGGATGGATCTAGGCGGTTCTCAGTGGTAGCAGATGACAGAACGAGGAGCAATGGTCTCAAGTTGCAGTGGGGGAGGTTTAGGTTGCATATTAGTGAAAAAGTTTTTCCTAGGACGGTGGTGAAGCACTGGAATGGGTTACTTAGGGAGGTGGTGGAATCTCCTTCCTTAGAAGCTTTTAAGGTCAGGCTTGACAAAGCCCTGGCTGGGATGATTTAGTTGGGGATAGGCCCTGCTTTGAGCAGGGGGTTGGACTAGATGACCTCCTGAGGTCCCTTCCAATCCTAAGATTCTATAATTCAGTTCCCAAGCATTTGGGGCGACTGTGTCGAAAGCAAGAGCTAAACTCTGATCCAAATGGGCTGTCTGTGGAATGGACCGAACCAGTGAACTGTCAAATCTTAACACCTCCAAGCGCTGGAGCTGAATTCTAGACCCAAAAGCAGATCTGGGTCATCAGGAAATACAAAAAAAAAACCATTGAAAATATTTTCTAAATATGTTTACACTTCAATAATAACCTTCAGCAATTTGGGGACCTATCCTACAAAGTGCTGAGCATCTTCAGCTCCTGCTCAAGTGAACAGGAGTTGGGCACTTGCCACATCACAGAATCAGGCCCTTAATTCATAGTAAACGGAGGGCAAAACATTACAAAGCTTTCAGAACTTCTTTGATTCTTAAATCTATGGTCCCCATCTGGCCTCACATAACAATAGTGTCTGAGCGTCTCACAGCCTTTTAATGTATTTATCCTTAGTCTTTTTTCTTTTTTTAATTGATCTGAAAATATAGCCACTTCTTTCTTCAGCAATAGCTTTGCCCTGCAGTCCTGCTGAGTAACTGGGATGTGACTGCTTTGTTAGTCTTGTGTGGCCCGCCGGCTGGAGCTTCCCTGTTGTCCTGACGAACGCTGAGGTGGCTCCTGCTCCCACTAACGGGAGTAAAACAGGAGGGACTCAATTGAAGACAAGTGAGGAAGGCCTGGAGAGCTTGATTGGACTCACTGTCTCGTCTCTTCCAGCCCCACCCAGCGCTTCTTCCGGATGAAAGCCAGCCAAAAACCTACAATGCTATACCTGTGCCAGGCTCTCTGCACAACGGTGAGTTTCCGGATTCCTGGACAGCCTGTCTCACCAGTACAGCCACATTTCCACAGAGCAAGTGCCCTGCCCCTCAGGGCAGACTCTCTAGATTGATGTGATCAGGCCTGACTCTCTTAAATGCTCCAGCTGGCCAGAAACCCCTGTGGGCCCGTGCTCTGCTCCACCTGCCTCTCCCCTGAACTGCAGGCTGCTTGGTTTCAATGCTGGGCCCAGTTTGAAACGTGCCGGGGTCAGGCACTGTGGAATTCACTCTGCTTGGAGCTCAGGATGAGACTTGAAGACATGAAGCAGTGTCTCTTTGGACCAGCCTCCTGCTCAAGGGAATAAGCCATCCAGCTCAGACTGTATGCCTGTCCACTGCCTGGATGCTCAAGTGTTAGAGCAATTGCCATGGATGGATAGATAACTAGCTAGCATGGTTTTCAAACACACATTGACTCCATCCACTCCCATCAGCTAAATCAGCTTAGAAACCAGTTTAGCTGGAACCATTATTCAAGCCAAGTTTACTCCCAGTTCCGTTTAACAGAGAGACCGTGTCATGGATGCCTCCCCTACCATCTGTGCTTCTGAGGTCTGGATGGACACCCAGCCTTCTACCAAGCCCTGGGAGCTATGTACATACAGTTCCCAATGCTGCAAAAGGCTTTCAGTACAGCTGTGGGGTGAAATGGTGCTCCAGAGGAAAGTCAGTGGCAAAACACCCACTGAGTTCAATGGACCCAGGCTATTAAACTTGGCATTTAAAGTGGAAGAGCGGGGGAGTTCATCCCCTGGAAGTTCTGGGTAACTGAGTCAACATTGGTTTTAAATGCCCATCAAAGGCAACACTGACAAATGCCAATGGACAGCTGCAGTTTGCACTTGGCTATGAATCCAAAGCCTCCATTCCTTGGGGCAATTATTTAACACACCGCTATCCCTCTCATTACATTGAGATGAATTGTGTGCCTGGCATTCAGTGTTCCTAGATTTAAAACAGCCAGGCTCCTGCTTCTAGCTCCTCTCTCAATCAGCCCCTTGAAAATAGCACGGAAGAGACAGGGCGTTTTCTTCTCCTCTCCTCGGGTGACAAGAGCGAGACGTCTTCAGGAGCCCCAGTCTGTATTAGACAGAGAAAAGCACCACGTGGAGAGAGACAGGAGCTGGAAAAATTCACTGGGCTGAGATGTGCACCCCATGGACCATTCCTAAGTGATGGGTCAATAACACTGACCGTCCCTCGTCATTACCAAATTTTTAAAAATGCACAGACCAGTCACCGGGGAGAATCTGTTAAAAAGGGAGTCTGTGGATGAGTATTAGGGGCTTCAGCCATCATTCCCAGCCTCTGCTGGGTGCAGGAAGGGTCACTGCTGAAGATGCAACCCTACAGGCTGCTACAGGCAGTCACAAGTGTTTTTATAGGCAGCTCCAGTGTGAGCCATGTTTGGCCTAGTGCTTGGTAGCTTTGAAGCCTCTGCTGTCCACAGCCAGGCATCCTCTGGGCCAAATGCTTGTTCCAATGAAATCAGTGGGAGATTTGCCATTGATTCAGCAGGGATTATGGTTTGGCTTGGGAGTCTCTGGGATCTGCACCAGGGGGATGCACCATTCCCCCTGCCCACACATACACTGCCAATTAGCTGTGGCCATTTGGACAATGGGCGATTTCAATAATGTCTGGAGGAGATTTTATGAGTCACACGTTGCAAAATGCTCCAGCACAAGAATGAGGGCAGCTTTGAAAGCAGCTAATATGAATCCAAACTAAATCCTCTTTCTAAAGGAGCGGGCGCTACCAGCTCTGCACTCATACACAACTGCACGCCACAAGGAATGCAAGAGAACTGCTCTGAGTTGTTTGCTTCCATCAGAAGCAGTATGAGAAGAAACTCTCAAGCAGGGCAAGGGCACTGAGAATCACGGCTCTGAACATGTTAGGGTCTCTCTGAAATTTTTCTGCTCAAGGAAGTGTTCATTTCAAAATTTGCTCAGAGCCATTCAAATTCTATGCCCTCCAGTTACCCAGCTGGGGCAGGGGGATGTCTTTTTGTGCCACTAGTTTTTAAATCAGAACTCCCCCTTGAAATGACTGGAAACTACTTCCCCCTCCACCAGGGCACAGGCATGCACCCAGCCACACGCACACACATCTGAGCATTATACTTAGCACTTGCCTAGAGAACATTAACTGATTGATCCTCCCAAACCACATCTGATGTAGTTAAGTGCACCTGTCTCCATTGTACAGACGGGAGCAACTAAAACACACGCATGTCAAATTGAGAGAGGGCCAAATTCTCACTTACTCCACAGTGAATCAGAAGTGACTCCACTGAAGTTACTCTGGATTTACACCTGTGTAACTCAGAGCATAAATTTGGCCCAGAAAGGTCACATGATTTCCTCAAACCCACCCAGTGAGTTAATGGCAGAGCTGAGGTTTGAATTTAGGATTTCCTGGTTCAATCCGCTAGATTGTGCTGACTCTCTCACTAGGCCTTCTCTCTACCCATTTGTTAAGCAGGGCTTTCTGGTTTAATATCTTAAACCAGAAGGAAACTGGGGTTCCTTTCCTCTGACATTTGCAATCTGGGGCAGCCCCTTACCTCTAACAAGGATGAATAATGACTAGTAGTTCCCAGCTGCTTTACAAATTGCCCAGCAGGGGGTGCTGTGGAGTCAGGAGCATTGCACCCTCTAGCTGTTCTATCCTGCAGCTTTACCAACCCCATCTGATGCTTTAGCAGTTCTAGCCTCTTCCACGCCCAAGGCCAGGCTTGAACTTGTCTCTTGCTTGGCTGAGTAATGCTGCATCATTTGAATTATTGCATAAATGTTTAGTTACAGTTGGTAATTGTGGCATTATTTATGGATCCACATGGCTCAGCAACGCTCCTCTCACGTCCTCATTTGCAAGCGCAGCCTCTGGAGGGGAGGGAGACGCGGCAGGCTTGCTGAAGCGCTCAGCGTAATGGTGTCGATTCAGGGGGCGAGCAAGCGTCTTGGCATGGTTTATTCAGGTTGCTGCCAGCCCCGGCAGTCACGCGGCAAATTAGCAGCAAGAAAGCGGAGGAGAAGATTGAACAGCAAATCAGTTACGTAGCACGGGGCCTGTCCTTTGAGGTGCCAAGCAACCTCAATTCATGCAGAATCATAGAAGATTAGGGTTGGAAGAGACCCCAAGAGGTCATCTAGTCCAACCCCCTGCTCAGAGCAGGACCAATCCCCAACTAAATCATCCTAGGCAGGGCTTTGTCAAACCAGGCCTTAAAAACCTCCAAGGATGGAAATTCCACCACGTCCCTAGGTCAAGGGATGCAGCACTCCCGCAGGATTGAGCCCCACAAAAGGGGGGTGTTCTTAGCAATTTTTCACCCCAATTCCCATGCCATTTTAACAGCTTCTCTTCCAATTTCCTACTGTCTTTCCTTGGGTCATGTGTGAAACTCTTTTCCCCCATGTTGGCAGCAATTTGGGTACAGACCAAGCAGTGTTAGAAGTGAATTTCATTCAGCTATAAAAAGGATCCGTACTGCATGAGATACCATCAAAAGACAATGGAGGGAGAGATTCCAGCTCTCATCCAATATACATGCCTGGCCATCCCCAAGAGCCTTCTGGAAACCAGCTGGGACAACATTGGAAAGTGGGACACTGAACTAGACAAAGTTCAGTCACTGTGAAACATACAGCGCCCCCCAGTCTGGAGAAAAAGGGAAACTGACAGTGCTCTTCAGGGTTGGTTGGTTTTTTAACCTGGCAGTTTTCCTTTCTCTGTTCTACTTTCACTTCTCTCCCTCCACCCCCCTTGTCTGGGAGAAGAGTCACCCTGGGCACCCAAGCTGCAATCCACACTATATGGGACTCTGTACAATTAAAGAGAGTTCATTCTCCAGGCAGCTTATTTTAATTTATCCCATGTAAATATAACAGCACCAGCCCCCCGTGGAAATAATATTTTGCACTTTGTAGCACCTTTCACCTAAGTGCTTTACCCCTGTTAATAAAGAATCCTCAGTAAACAGAGGTACAATGATCTCCAGTTCACAGATGGGAAACCAAGGCAGAGAGGGACTAAGTGACTTGCCCAAGGTCCCACAGAAAGTCTGTGGCAGAGCCAAGGGTTGAACCCAGACTTCCTAACTCCCAGTCCTATGCTTCAGACCCTAGAGCAAACTTTTCCCCAGGGTATCCTCACATCTTAAGGGAGAGACTGTCCTATGGGCAGATCCCCACTCATGATGGCGCAAACCCCTTCCCTTCCCACTGGATGACACCGCAATTGCCTTGCATGGAGAGGACTCATTAGGGAAGTACTGACTGTATCTCATGCTCTTTCTAATGTGATTTAGCAGCTGGTAACAGGGAGGAGAGGCAGCCCCATCTCTTGGGCCAGCTCTGACCTACCTCCATTTGACCCAGTGCACCACGCACTCCCAGCAGCCTCGGGAAGGAAGGGCAGCCCCAGTTTCCTTGCTGAACGGCTCAGCTCGCAAGGCTTATCAGTCCCCCAGACTCCCAGTTCACAGAGGTGAATCCTCCCCCTACCGCAGGCCAGCGCCTCTCAATTTGAAAACCAGTCCAGGCACCTGGCTAAGTCCAGTGGGAGACTGAACCTCTTCTCCTATGGGGAGCCCTTGCTGAAAAGTTTCCCCCAGCCCCTCCAGCAGGCGATGCTACCTCTGCGATGCAAAATCTCAGAGAGGAGGGGGATCCCTGCTGGTTGCATGGCACCAGATGGCTCTGACGCAGGCTCTCTGGGGTGGCATGTGGCAGAAGGGGACACAACCCCTTTAAACCCTCCCCCCTGCCCCGGCTGGCACAAGCCAGCAGCCTTGGCAGGAGTATGATACAGCGGAGACTTTACCTTCCTTAGGCGGCTGAGAATACAAGAGCCAGAAGAAGAGGAGGAAGCAAAGCGTGGCACCAATCCCTGCAGAGAGCTCTCTCCAGCCGGCCAGCATCCTGAGTGGGCTGGGAGGGGGGCGGGGAGGCAGGGCTGGACCCCCCTCTCACGCTGCAGGATCCCCTCTAAATCCAACTACCAGGGACGTTTCCACCTGGCACAGGGCAGCCCAGCATGGCTGGGGAGTAGCTGCATTCCCTTCAGAGCAGGAGGGCTGGAGCCATTTGGGGGGGGGGGGGCTGAGAGCTGTTGAACCAAACTGTCAACCCTGGATATGATGGAAACCACGCCAAGCAAGGGGGGGCGGCAGCCCCCCTAGTCCCAGCCCCTCTGAGCAGGAGAAAAGCTGCAGCCACGCAGGAGAGCTGCAGCTCCAGGGGGGCACAGGCTGGTTCCTTTAGTACCCGGGTCACCACATCCCAGCCTCGCAGGGGGACCCCACGTGCGGGGGGGGGGGAACTGCCCCTCTCGAGGGTGGCTCCTTGTCACAGCGTCCTGTGCTCCTGGTCCAGGCAGGGTCAGACTCTCACCCACAGCGGGCTGGGTTTTTTCCAAAGCCCAGTGTCTTCCAGCTGGTGAAAGTAGCCAGAAGATGCAGCCCGTCCACCCGGCTTCTCTCTGGGGGCCAAACGTCTCTGCTGCCCGGCGGGGGCCGGAGGGAGCCCGGATCCCTGGGCAGCTCCTTTGCATTCAGCCCGCAGAGCGGCGGCTAGTATCTCCCCCCGGCTGGGTGCAGTTTGCCAGGCGAAAGCCGAGCGGTAATTCCCTCTCCGGCACCGCCCGCAGCAGCTGTGCGCTTCCCTCCTGCAGCTGGGCAGGGAGCGAGGCGGGCAGCAGGAGGGTTCATGGCAGGGATGGGGAGGGCTAGCAGATCCCCCCCCTTTCCCCCTTCCCCCCGGCTGCACCGTGGCAATGTGACTAGCTCCGCGGGGCGGGGGGTCCTTCCCGGCCGGGGGGCGCCAAGCTCGCTGCCCGGGACTAGGCTCGCGAACCTGTGGCGGGTACCCAGGAGCCAACAGCCCCCGCTACCCCGGCTCAGCTCAGCAAGCGGCAGGGGAATCCCGGGAAGCGCAGCTGGGGGGGGGGGGGAATCAGCCCCGGTAGGTGCCCCCCCCCCGGCCCTGCAAGCTGAGACTTGCCACAAAGCCCCCCACACACTGCCCCCCCTCCTCCTCCTCTTGGGGTGTCAGCTCGCTGCAGCCTGTGGATTGCACCCCCCCCCCCAGGTGCTGCTGCAACCCCGCGCCCCACGGCTAGGAGCGGTGGCGTCTCTGCAGCCAGCTGCGGGTGGGGGGGACCCGCGGCCGCTCCTCCCTCCTCCGAGCATCCCCCGCGGCTCCGGCAGAGCCTCCGTCCCCCCCCCCCGGCCGTGCAAGGAGCCCCCCCGGGGGCTGCCTCCCCTCCCCCTGCGGAGCCGTGGCCCGGCGGCGCCCGGCGCAGGGGAAAGTTTCTCGGCGCGGCGGCGGCGGCGGCTCCCGTGAGCCCGAGCTCCCCCCCGCCCCCGGGAAGGGCCCGCGCTGCAGCGCCCCCTGCAGCCGCCCGGCCCGAGCTGCCGCAGCCTCGCCGGGTCCGGCTGGGGGGGGCGGCCCCCGGCAGCATTTCTCCGCTCCAGCCCGGCCAGAGAGGGAGCCCGCGGCTGGGATGCAGCCTCGCAGGGGTGAGCGGCTTGGGGCTGGGACGCCCAGCGCTGGGGGGGGGGAGATCGGGGGATGCCCGGGGGAGGGGCTGGGACGCCCAGCGCTGGGGGGGGGGAGATCGGGGGATGCCCGGGGGAGGGGCTGGGACGCCCAGCGCTGGGGGGCGGGGGAGATCGGGGGATGCCCGGGGGAGGGGCTGGGACGCCCAGCGCTGGGGGGGGGGAGATCGGGGGATGCTCAGGGGAGGGGCTGGGATGTCCAGCGCTGCGGGGGGGGGGAGGTGCAGGGACGCCCAGCGCTGCGGGGGGGAGGTGCAGGGACGCCCAGCGCTGGGGGGGGAGGTGCAGGGACGCCCAGCGCTGCGGGGGGGGGAGGTCTGGGATGCCCAGCGCTGGTGGGGGGGGGGGGTGCTGGGATGCCCAGCGCTGCGGGGGGGGGGAGGTGCAGGGACGCCCAGCGCTGGTGCGGGGAAGGGGATTGGGACACCCCAGCCCTCTGCTGGGGCTGCTGTTGTGGTGCCCAGGCTTCGCGCAGGTGGAGACGCTGCAAGCCGGCAGCGATACCTGTCTAGTCCAGCTCTCTGGCTGTGGGGGGATGGCTGCTGTGTGACCGCTTCTGGGGCATCTGTGGGTTTTTTTGTGTCCCAGAGCTCCAGACTACTTGGTCAGGGTGCAGAGGGAGGCAGGGTATGCTAGGGTCCCGAATGGCAGGGCCTCTTGGCTGAGATCCCACACGCTCACCACAGCTGCCTGACTTAGGTCTTGATGGGATGTAAGGCCCCAGTTCCCAGAAAACAAGGCAAGAGAGAGAAAGGTACAAAACTGGAGATGGGCTTGAACAAAACTCCTAGCCCAGTCCCTAGCCCCCAAACCTGGATCTGAATCCGAATGGACTCCTATCTTTATAATGGGCTGGACCAATCTTCCAGATCTGAACACCCCCCAAATTGGGACCTGGATCTGGGCAGGGAAGGTGACGGAGAGTCCATCTCATCCTTGGCACCGATGGAGAACCAGCACCAGCCTCCCGCCCTCTGTCTAGTGCCCCAGATTCTGTGCTCTCCCCATTCAAACACAGGGACGGGAGCTAGTTCATTACCTCGGGCAGCTCCAGTTTTAACCCCCGCTGACCTCCCCCCACACACACACCTTCTCAGCCCTCTCCTTTGATTTGGGGGAAATTGATACATGCTTTCCACCACAGCAGCGCCTGTGACTAATTTGTTAACTATGGGGACTCCTGAATGAATAGCGCTCAGGCAGGTAATTTACCAGCAGATCTGAGAGGGGATAAAGGGAAACCAATATAAATAGTCAGTAATAAAACTGTTTACTGACACCGGGCCTTCTTTTAATGAGATTTGTATGCAGGGGAGGGCGCCTCTGATAAGTTCTCCAGCTTACAATTATTGACTCTTGTCCGGGGGAGCCACAGAGCGGGGAGAGACCATCTTCATAAGGCCCCTGATCCCATTAATCGGGAAGGGAGCTGGAACAGAGTTGAAAAGGAGCCGGGGCACGAGTCAGTGTTATTAGTGTTGCTCAGAGAGCAGCCCTTAGTGCTGCCAGGACAGGCCACCAGCAGCACTGAACTAGAATCCTAGACGATGAGGGCTGGAAGAGACCTCAGGAGGTCACCTAGTCCCACCCCCTGCTCAAAGCAGGACCATGTCAAGCCGGGTCTTAAAACCCTCTAAGGATGGAGATTTCACCACCTCCCTTGGCAACCCGTTCCAGTGCTTCACCACCCTGCTAGGCCTGGCCACCTGATCCTTGCTCAGAGATGTGCTTGCTGCATACATAACCCGTCGCGCTGATCGCATTCCTTGCAGCTCTCAGTGGGGAAAAGAAGGGTGGCAGCCCCTCCCCAAATAGCCGTGCCGAGATTGTTGGGTAGATGAGCACGGGGAGGACATGGACTGGCAGATGCCTTAAGCTGGCAGGATCCGGACAGCTGTCTCCACTAGAGCGGCTCTGTTATGGGTTGGACTAGACCTTATTGAATTGGAAAAGGGGACGGGGGTGTAACTGCTGCCCTTCATTTAAGATAGTTGGAGCTTAATTGTTTCTTACTTTTATGGAATCAGATAGCTGAAACAGCAGCCCTCACCCAAAACACAGGCGCATGGAGGGGTTTCGCTGGCTATTGTTCTGTGCGGGTTTGTGTGTCTGTGAAAGAGAGACGGAAAGGCCAGAAGAGCAGAGAAAGAAGCAGGTGATAACACAAGACAGCAGGGGCCAAAACGCCCCTGTACAAGTCCTGTGAGTGTGGCCCTGAGAAAAGCTTTTGGGCTAGGTGCTGGCTAGAGAGGGTCTTCAAATCGGGTGACCATACATCCCGTTTTGGCTGAGACAGTCCCCTTTTTAAGCCCTGTCCTGGCTGCCCCGACCTTTTCTGCATTTGTCCCACTTTTGATCAGTTGGCAAGGGCAAACGGGACAAGTGCCCACTTTTGTCAAAAAAGTGGGGTGTGGAGAAATGTGGGGGGGAGTGAGCGGAGATGCCAGCCCTGTGTGGGAGGGCAAGGCTGGGTGGGAGGGCAACGGTCCAGCATGCGAGGGGCTGGCAGGGTTCCGGCAACAGCCTCTGTGGTGGGGGCCTCAGGTGAGCGGCTGGGGGTGTCCCGTTTTCCCTTGGGGGAAATACAGTCACCCTGTCTTGGAGCTGCAAGCCCAGAAACTGTCTCCTGTTGTGTGATTCCTCCTGCATTCAGGGAAATAGGACTTTGTACATTCTCTGTAAATAATCAGCATTGGATCAAAGAAAGCTGACTCCCTCATCAATTTCTCCTGCTATCGGAAACAACCCTCAGCACCCCAGTTGGACTAACTGCTCGGATCAGAAAGGGATAACACTTTCATTTGCACTGACGGCCCAACCCTACGCTCGTTCAAGCTCAGAGTGTGGGTACCAGCAAGCAAAGAATAGGCTTTACAGTGAGTTGCTGCATCTCCAGGAGCAAGACCCCTTCTTAGCCCCATCACAAAGGGTTCTTGTCTGTGCAGTGGCTGCTGGTGCTAGCTGCAGAGACCTGTCCTTGTTGTCCGAAGCACTTGGAACTGGAGGAGCTTGTGTGAGCGGTCGTGGTGGGCGAACCTTGGGAAGCAAACTAAGTGGGCAGAAGGAGAGGGTTTCTTTTATAAAGTGCTTGTAGAGAGGACTAATGAGGCCCTAATTAAAGTCAGTGGGGAGAAATTAAGAGGGGGAAGAATTAGAGCAGCAGAGACACAAAGGGAAAAACACCCTCCTCTAAAAAACAGAGGAGAGGAGATCAAAGGAGAGCCGGGGAACGAAAGGAAAACATGTTTCCTAATTGTGCTTAGAGTTTCTTCTCTCTGAGGTATGCCCACCCCTCCCCAGCATCTGGCATGGAGGCAGGTCCTGCCGAGGCAGGCATGCAGCTGGGCGTCTCTGGCACAGAAGCGTTTCCCTTTGTAGACACTAGTTATCCATGGGAGCACCCACAATCGATATCGACGGGGTTTCCCTTGAGCTCATCCTTCCCTACGGCAAGATCAGGGCTTGAGCCACTCTCAGTCCGTCACCCGGCCTCATTCGTGGCGTCTGCCGACATACCAGCGAGGTGTCACTTTGTTCCCATCTCGGTCCCTGGGAGTTGGACTCCAAAGCAAAGCTAGGCCAGTGCTGAGTATGTCTGAAAATCCGCCCCTCCCGGTGGAGCAGAGGCAGCCCCTTAGTGGCCCCACCTTCATCGCTCCCTCAAAGCTCGTGTTGCCTCTGGGGCTTAAAGTGTGGTTCTGCTCCGAGACGTGACAGGGAACCCCGTGGTGCCATTTTCACAGACTGTCATCTCTGCATGGATTTCTGATCAAGTTTGCTCAGCTTACTAGCAAAGAAAAGGGTTTTTTCCCCCCCTAACTGCCAGCCCTCCAAACTCATGGGAGCTAGGATGCACCAGCATCAACTCAATTCCCCTTTCTGTTCAGAAACCCATTGGGATGCAGGAGATCTCCACTTTCACTGGGGGAAATTCACCCTGGGCAGAGAGCCAGCACAGGCCCACACACCCCTTAAAACCCTAGAACTGCTTCAGGGCATCAAACAAGCTGTAACTACAAAGGGATCAGGAGGAGATTTCTCTGTGGGGCTGATTGTCCCACATCTGCCAACTATGTGGTTTCCTGCACCTTCCTCGGAAGCATCCGGTGCTGGCCACTGGATCCTGGGCTAAATAGTGCATCCAGTCTGACAATCTGTATTTTTTATTTTTTAAATGTCACCCCGTGATGGTGGTTATTTATTGCTGTTGTTGCCCCGAAGGCCCAGAGGGGCAGGAGGCGTGGTGCCTGGGTCTCTGTGAGAAGCCGCATGGGTATTTGATGACAGCGGGTTAGCATTCCAGGAGCGTCACACAGCCCCAGGCCCTGTAAAATACACCTCCTGGGAAAGAAGCCCCGATCAGGCAGTGACAAACCAATCCCCAGATAACATGCTGCAGCCTCACATTCAGGCTACGTCTACACTAGGATGACCAGATAGCAAGTGTGAAAAATCAGGACAGGGGATGGGGGGTAATAGGAGCCTATATAAGAAAAAGCTCCAAATATCAGGATTGTCCCTATAAAATCGGGACATCTGGTCACCCTAGTCTACGCTGCAAAGTGAAGGTGTGACTGTAGCACGGGTAGTAACCTAGCTAGCACGGGTCACAACAGTAGTGAAGATGTGATGGCACGCCAGGGGTTCTGGGTACGTACTCCGGTTGCTAGTGTGCACTGAAGCCCGGGCTGCTAGGTCTTCACCACTGTGGTCAGCTCCGCTAGCTAGCTGAAAGCTAGCCCGGGTTTGCTACAATCACACCTGCACTCTGCGTTGGCAATTGTGGGCACCCTCTTACTTAACCTTTCTTGAGCAAATCCCTTAATGCCTCTTTGGAACAGAACCCAAATCCCCAGTCAGTGCTCTAACTCCATGGCCGTTCTTCCTAGGCCAGCTCTTGGCTCTGCTATTGGCTTGGGCGTGGGCCCAGCAAAGCACTTAAGCACATGCTTAATTTAAGCGGGTGACTCATCCTCATGCCTTCAGTTGAGGCTTACTGTTAAGCAGGCGCTTAAGTGTTTGGCTGGCTTGGTTCCTCAGACGTCGGTGGGTTCAGAATCTAGATGCAGCTGGCACCTGTTTTTATTTGGGCTGAAGCGATGTAGCTTTGAACAACCCCAGAACCTTCGAGGCACGTGACTGTTGTCACCTGGGGCCAAACAGTGCAGCTTGCGAGCATCTGGGGAAATGTGATTGTGAAACCAGCTAATAGTGAATCTAGGGAAAGGCCCAAAGTGTGGGGCAGGGTGGGGGGAGAAATCTGAGCTCCAGACTTTGTGGCTCACTGAAAGCAGTCGCTCCATCTCCCAGAAAAGTCTAAGAAGGCACCTGAAAATGTATCGTACGTTATTTCGTATCATATCAATTAGGCAGAGGGGAAAAAACGTGCCTGACCTGCTAGACTGACAAGTATTTTGATGCTGGAGTATAATAGCCAACAGTTCAGTGGGAAAACTCATTAACCAAATTAGCCTCCCGCAGGTGAGTTCTGACCCGGGAAAGGGCACCAAGGAATAGAAGCTCTTTTAATTTAATTTTAAATTATTCTGAAATACTCTCAAGCGTTCAGACCCCTGGAGCTTTCATTTATTTGAGTTTCAACCTGAGCGGCTTGGAAAGGAAACGCCAGGTTGGAACAGACTGGTGACTTATCTAGGCTAGTGACTAAGCCTGGCTGTTGGGGAGCTGGTCATAATGCAATTAACTAGGCTGTGCCCTCTCATAGGGCGGTAGGAGGTTTCATGTTTCTATCACCCAGGAAGTAAGTGGGCCACTATCTGTTTATCACCAGTACCTGTAGGGCTCCCACGGTCAGAGTGTGTGAGCACTTCACAACCTGGGCAGCAGGGCAGTACTTTTATCCTCACTTTTCAGATGGGGACCTGAGGCCTAGCTCCTCAAAGGGATTTAGGATCCCAGGTGAGTTAGGAACCTAAATACCTTTCAGGATCAGGCCCAGAGAGATTAAACAATAATAAGTAGCTCTTAGAAAGTGGCTTTACAAAGGAAGGAAGCCTCGTTGTCCCCATTTTAGAGGTGGGAAAAATGAGGCACAGGGACTTAGCTGAGGTCACACAGCAGCAAAGCAGAGAATAGAAGCCAGATTACCTGAGTCTCAGTCCAGTGCTCTGTCCACTAGGCCATACTGCCACCCTTGTCCAAGCTCACCCAAGAAGTCTGTGGCAGAGGAGGGAGTTGAACAAGGGTCTCCTGAGTCATAGTCTAGTGCTCTACCCTCCTGGACAAGCCTTCCTCTGTCAGCTCCTCTTTTCTCCTAATTGGAACTGGATAAGTTGGGTCTGGATCCAGTGCCTGCTAGGTGGAAAGACTTCCACTGACTTCAGTGGGCACTGGATAATGCCCTTTGTGGCCATTAATCAATAGCCTTTGCAGCTCTAATAATATGTAATTAGATGTTTAATTCAGCCTCAAGCTTCCAGGGTGTGTGAGCTGATCTGTCAGACCAGCAGCTGCAGTTTTAAAATGGTTTGAGTCCTTACGCGCGTGATAGACAATGATTGATTTCTGTAGCAGCTTCCAAAACACGCAGGGGCTTTGCGGTGTCGTAGCCCACAGCATCATAGAAGAAAAGTAGCTATGATCCTTTTTAAACATTACCTACCTGATCTTTGCAGCTTTCAAGAGGCCACCAAACAGACTTTCATGTCAAGTGATAACGTGGAGACCTCCTGGGGAGAGGAAATGGAGGGTAGCCTAGGGAAACAATACCTAGCTAGATTACTTACTAAAAGTTCTAAGATTCCATTCCTGGTCTATCCCCGGCAAAGACCCAGCATACAGACAGGTTTCAGAGGAACAGCCGTGTTAGTCTGTATTCGCAAAAAGAAAAGGAGTACTTGTGGCACCTTAGAGACTAACCAATTTATTAAATAAATTGGTTAGTCTCTAAGGTGCCACAAGTACTCCTTTTCTTTCAGCATACAGACAGACACAGACCCTTTGTTTCTCTCCCTCCTCCCAGCTTTTGAAAGTATCTTGTCTCCTCATTGGTCATTTTGGTCAGGTGCCAGCGAGGTTACCTTTAGCTTCTTAACCCTTTACAGGTGAGAGGAGCTTTAGAAAGACGCCACCTCCATCAACCTGATACTCCGAAGCTGACACAGACCAGCACAAGGCTGAAATAAAGGGCGGAAATTGGTGGACACCTGATGGCCTGAGAGTGCAGGAGGAGAGCGAGAGAAAGAAGAGGTAATGGTAACCATTGGGTCAGTGGAGACTTATTTACTCAGTTATGTGACCGGTGACTTTTTATTACCCATGTCAGGTGATCGAAGCTAGGAATGAAAAGTCCAATCTCTGGGTAGCACTACCGTGTGTCATGGCTTTATTACATCCTTGGTAGCGTCCCTGCCCCTTGGCCCTGATCATTGAAGTCAATGGAAAGATTCATAGTGACTCCAGTGGATTTTGGATCAGACCCCCTATCATTATGCATAGGGGGGGGTCCCAGTAATCCCAGTTCTAGCGGCTGCTCCACTGGTTGTTCTGTGAGATGAGAAATAACCTCATTAAGGTTCCTGGGGGGAGATTTGTCGTAGGCAGAGAGGGCAGCGGGGTCCCAACTCCCATTGGAAGATAATGAGAGATGGGTGCCTTCCTCCCAGATGTGCCTTTAGCACTCTCCCACATCAGCGCGTACTCCATCCGAGGCATGCCAGTCCCACCGAGGCCAGTGGGATGATTCACATGCTTGAAGTTAAGCATGTGCTTACGTATTTGGCGGAATTAGGGCCTAAGGCCTTAGAGTCCAAGGTCCACTGACATCAACGCAAAGCATTGGAGAAGGCCCCTTCTAGGTAAAGAAATTCACGCCAGGAGACTTGCTCTGGGGCAGCATGAAGACTGAAGGGTCAGTGGCCATGCGTGCAAGCCAGCCTTGATGCTGTGTGTTTCTTCTCCCCTGTGCCGGCTGAGCAGCAGCACCTGGATGCAATGGGGCGCGGGAACTGAATTTCCCAGGCTGCAGTCAGGCCTTTAACATTATTTGAATGCATTTTTTTAGTCTTTATTACATCAGCAGTCACCTCAGGCGTGAATTTGTGACCTTTAATCAAAGCTCTCCACTACCTGACCCTCTCTCAGGCAGAAACTTTGTGCCCATTATAATGTTGATTAACTGTGTGTTGCTGGTGGAGAAGGAAAGGAGACTGAAAAGAGATAAATTGTACAAAGTGCCTGACTATATTTGGATGTGATGTTATGGTACGCTCTGAACTAATTTAGTGACTCCTCCTAACCTTCTTATGAAGGTCACCCCATATGGGGTGAAGTGTCCTCATTTGAAGGAGCCTCAGCCTTCGGCGTGGGAAGATTGATGTGTCCAGCGTGGGCGGGTGGAATACATGCGATCCCATTTCCATTGGGACAAGGGCTCTGGGGAATGATCGCCATTTCAGGCCAGCTGACGCTAGGACTGTGAGCTGTGGAGTACTCTGCTGTCAGCTGACGTGTGCCACGAAGATAGATCAAAAGGGTGCTGGATACCGGCTGGTTTGGAGGACAAATGGCTTTTTGGACAAATCCAAACAGTTTTGTGAAACAGTTTCATGTTTGAAATTTTCTGTTTTTTTCCCCTTCGACCAAAGGATTTGAAATGAAAATGTTTGATTCTGATTAAGAACCAGTCTGGGGGCATTACGGGCCTTTCTCTCCAGTGGAGAACTGAAGGGAAGGGGATGGCAGAAAACGGAGGGGAACCCCTACACCAACTGTTTGCCCATTTCAATTATGTGTGATGTGAATCAACATAACAATAATTTTAAAAAATGGTTGAAATCCTTTTGTTGAAAAATCTGGAAAAATTTCCAAACAAAACGAACATTTTTCATTTCACTCAAGATTTTTCATGGGAAAAATACCCAGGGGCTTGGGTTTTTTTTTCTTTTTGACCAGCCCTAATTGATTGGCTGGCAGTGCCTACAGTGATCCCCAGTTGAACTGTCAACCATCGCCACAGAGCGCCTTCACTAGGGCCCCGATCCTGCCATCAGCTCCATGCTAGCAGACCCCTGTGCCGGGCTGGAGCCCCAGTAGGCAGGGGTCTGCCCTCTCAGAGAGCATTGCAGGCTAGAAGGCTAATGCCACCAAAGAGCGATTCTCACTGGCTTAGTGTATCTGGGGGCTTCTGGCTGGGGGTGAGCAGTAACATGCTTTGTGGGCTCTGGCAAGGCAGCATTTTCCAGCAGACAGATGATGGTTTTGGTGTGGTGGCATTTTATGCCCATCTCTTAGGACAAAATGTGGCTTATCGTCTAAAAAAGGAACGTTTTCTGGTTTCCTTTCAATAGCATCTCTTCCCCCGCCCCCATTTTTCCTCCAAAGATTTATCTCAGCCCATTTCCTTTTAATGGAAGGAATCATTTAGGTCTCCGTTATTACAGCCTTTCAGGCTTAATGCTTTAATAAAGTCCTGATCTTATCTGCAGAAGAGGGCTGCAAATATGGTTGCATTTAGCGAGCTGTTTATTGTAACGAATGCGGGATGAGAGAGGAGTAATACAATTTTCCCATGTTAATTCCATAACTGCTTCGTTCAGGATCCAGGATCAACCCTGAAATTTACTTTCTTGTTATTCAGTTTCACTGAGAGCCTCTTGAAGTATGTCTTTAGAAAAATAAAAGATGGGGAGGTGGGAATATTTTAAAATTATTATTATTTATTATACGTCTTATATGATAGCACCTTGAGGCCCCAACCAGGAATAGGGTCCCATTGTGCAGATGCTGCACACCCTCATAGCGAGAGGCAGTCCCAGCCCCAAAGAACTGCAGCTCAAAGACAGATAAAGGGTCGGAAACTGAGGCATAGAGAAGTTAGGTGTCTTGCCCAAAGTCGTGCATCAGGCCAGTGGCTGAGCTGGGAACAGAAACCAGGGCCCGTGACTTCTGATCCATTAAAAGCAGATCAGATAACGGATTTGAACGAGCGTCTGATCTATAAACAGGCTTGGGACCCCCAGGCATGATTGGGAGAGGTGCTGAGGCCCACAGCTCCCATTGACGTCCACTGAAGTTGTGGGTGCTCAGCGCCTGTGACAATCGGAGCCGCCACGGACTAAATCCTCCTCCTCTTATGTTGCTACAACTCTACTGAAGTCAGTGGGACTGCACCAGTGTAAATGAGAGAATTTAACGCTCTCTCTTCATTCTCTCTAGGTCAGCGGTCCCCAGTCCTTTTCTGGTTGAGCACCAGTTACCGAGGATTAGGTACTTCTGCTAGGACCTCTCAATCCATGCCTGGCGAAGTTGCCACCATCTTTGGAATCCCACCCCCCCACCTTTCTGTTTTCTCTCTGTTGTCCTTTCCTGCCTCTGGTCTGCCTTGAGGACTGATGTCCAGATCTTCAAAGATCTATTGGTTTCAGTGGGGACTTAGGCACCAAACTATGCTTGAGGATCTATGCCTGAGCCCTTCCCTGGTTTATACACACAATGCTTCAAAAGGACGTTGCAAATGGTCAATATCCCATTGGTACTGATGAACCCACGCCACTGCAAGAAATGGCTTGGAAACACTTGTGCGATTAGAGCCAAGGCTGGGGAGTTGGGGATGGGGAGAGGTTCGTTCCTGGTGAGAAAATGCAGCTTCTTGGTATGGACTGTTTGGAGCATTCACCCAGCCTGGGTTCACCCCCTGCCTTGTTTGGTTACATTGACAACTAGAGCTGGGTGATGTTTTTCAGCTGATACGTTTTTTCCAGCAACAAAGGCAGATTTGGGTCGACCGAAACGTTTGGCAAATTCGTGGTGAGTTCAGCGAATTGCTTCGGTCGCAGCGGGAAACGAAATCGGCAGTGTTGAAATGGTTCCTAATGTTTCAATTTTTCGGGCGACATTCCCAAGGGGAAGAGTGGGAGGAGGTCCCCAATAGCCCAGTGCTTAGGGAACTCACCTGGGATTGGAGAGGCCGGTTTGAATCCTTGCTCTGGAGTGGAGCCATGAACACAGGTTTCCCCTATTCCTGGTGAGTGCCCCAGTCACTGGGCTATCGGGTATTCCGGGGTGGGGTTCTCCATCTGTCCTGTTGAAACATTTCCACTGCGTATAAAATACTTGAACAGCCATTGGGCCAGAGAGAGAGAAATGCGAATGACTCTATAGCAGTGGTTCTCAACCTGCGGCCCGCGAGCCGCTTGCGGCCCAATTCAGCACAGAGCTGCGGCCTATGTGACATCCTCAGGGCCAGACAGGTAGTACTGGATGTGGCCCCCAGTGGTAAACGGGCTGAGAACTACTGCTCGATAGCAGGTGCGCTAGAAATGCATTGTTAGAGATTGGTACAGGAGAGGGTCGCTCAGCTCACCTGTCAGGGAGCAGGTCCATGTTCCCTAGCTCACAAGAGTGTCATGTCCTGGCTACTGTGCATGTGCATTCCTGCCCTCTACTGGCCAGAATGAGATCTGCTCAACCGTGTGTCACAGGCCCTGTATGGCCGAGAGCCTGCATTCTCGCTGCGGTGGCAGGGGCCTGTGCTTTGGGTACAGGAGGCTCAGGGTTCTTCTGCTGTTGGGAAAAGTCCTGAACAGGTGCCGCATAGCAGCAGCCATTAAATCTGAAGTGTTACAATATCCTATTAAACAACATCAGCTCTCACTCACGAGTGGCCCCTCCTGGCCAAATCCACCTCTACTTTGCCATGGTAAATGACTTCTCAGAAACAGTTGAGTCAGGAAATCGACACCATCAGCAACCCTGCTCAGGATAACGTCATTAATTCCACGTCGTTCCATGCTCCCTCCTTTCCTTCTTGGGTCCCTCATTCCCGGTCTTTGTTCCACATCCGGCCCTCAGGAGGTTGATGGGTTAGGGGGTGTCAAACAGCCACTTCTCTGTCCTGGCACTGCGTTTGTATGTGCTGTAAATTGTCTAGCTTTTCTTCTAGGGGGGCGGGGGAAGAGAGAGAAACAATGAAGACTTGCTCTGCGCAAAGGCAATTGGGGAATGCTGACCTGGGTGTGCCATAAGCAGCCTTTTGTATGTCTACTTATACACGGAGCCTTTTGTTTTTTTAACATAGGAAACTGAAGTAGCCCTTTTGCCAGAGAATTCAAATGTGACGAGCTGAGAACACTGATTCCCCTCCGCTCATCCCCAGAAGCCATGTAATTTCATGCAGCTTCCTTCCCCTCCATTGTGCAGGCTGATGTAGCGATAACAGAAATAAAAACCCGAAGACCTTTCTTTCTTTC